AGACCTTCTCTGGCTTGGAGAGCTGCCAGGCCGATATTGCAGAACTTGGCCAGGAGTCTCGGAGAGTCACGAACCAATGAAGCTAATTGTCTCCTGCAAACTCCACTCCCCTTTCGCTCCTCTTTTATTTCCTCTGGGAGGGGCCATTCACCGTCCACTTGTGGACTTACTCCCAAGTCCACCCCTGTTCTTTAGCTGTTCCCTTCGTCTGGCAGCTCTGCACATGAGCACACTGGGAACAGGCTCCAGCTGTTCTTCTGCCTCACTGATGCCTGACTCCGAAGGCAGTTGATAACTGTCAGATGGCCCTGGCCCCCTCTCTGCCTCGTCCCTCGCTTGTACTTTAACTCCCCTTTTGTAAAGCTAACTTTAAACAAGTTGTAACATTCCTTGTTCATTCATTCATAAGCGATCTGAAATTTCTTAGTCCCATATTTATTTTGAATGTAATCAATCCATCTTTCTCCATTCCAGCTTGTATTTCTCATCTGAATAGTCCTGTCTGATTTCTTTTTTTTTTTGCAACGTAGTCCAGCCTGACTTGAATGGCCGGCTGGACTGGACATTAACATCTGAATCACTGTAAGCCCATGTATTTGCCATATGCTAAATAAATAAACCGGAGAACCATTTGTCTGGGGTGATATAGGGCAGGGGTCCCCAATCTTTTGGATCTTACCAGGGATCGGTTCCGTGGGAAAACATTTTTTCCAACCAATATAGATAGTCCTCAACTTACGGCTTCCACGTTGCTAAGCGGGACAGTTGCGAAGGGAGTTTTTGTTGCACGTCGCGAACTTTCTAGCCACCATTGCTAAGTGAATCGCTACAGGCGTTAAATGAGTAACCCAGATGTTAAGTGAATCTGGCTTCCCCTTTGACTTCGCTGGCGAGAAGTTTGCAAAAGAGGATCACGTGACCTTGGGACACTGCAACCGTCATAAATACGAGTCAGTTGCCAAGCTAACATGGTTGTAAGTTGAGGAGCACCTGACACTATTAGAAGCCTAGGAGGTGTCCCTGCTCTTGTCTGACTTCTGACTTGGTTTTTTTGGGGGGGAGGGGGGTGTTACTCACCTAGTCGCCGGCGCGCTTCCTGGTCTCTCAAAAGTAAGGAAGGAGCCGGTTTTTCCGGCGTGGAGACGTGAAACTGGAGGAAGCCTTTTTCATGCTCAGGAAAATCCACCTCCGACATGACTTCAGAAATAGAGAAGGTGGACAGGAAGATGAGATGCTGGACCTTTCTTGAGCTTAAATCAGGGGTGGGGAACGATGGCCCCTTTATGACTTGTGGACTTCAACTCCCAGAATTCCTGATCTAGCATGGACCTATGGACGTCAACTCCCAGAATTCCTGATCTAGCAAGGACCCATGGACTTCAACTCCCAGAATTCCTGATGTAGCATGGACCTATGGACTTCAACTCCCAGAATTCCTGATCTCGCATGGATTTGTGAACTTCAACACCCAGAAGATAACTAACAATCTGAACTGATCTCTCCATACATCATCCTTAGTGGAGTCTGCATTTCCTGCGTCGCATGAGGAGAGCACCTCTTTCCCCTTCTTTCCTGGCCACTTTTGACAGAGGCACGATCAAGAGTGTTTTAACAAACTGCATCGCTGTTTGGCTTGATGGCAGCAGCAGCGTTTCAGATAGAAAGTCCCTACGGAGAGTGGTGAGGACAGTGGAGATGATTATAGGAAGCTCACTTCCCCGTTATTCAGGATAATGCTTATAAGCGCTATGTGCTTAGGGCTCAAACCATTGTTAGAAACCCCACACACCCACCTTCAGGGTCTGCTTTTGTTGCTCCCCTCAGGGAGGGGGTTTCAAAGTATTTCTAGCAGGACTACCAGTTCTGTAACCGCTTTATTCCCTAGGCCATCCGTCTGGGAATCTCGGAAGATTCATTTTTCTCACCATGTATATGAACACATCCAAACTGGGAAAAAAAGGCTTCACCATATAACATGGGGTCCTATATACACCTCAGACCTCCTTCCTCCCTACATAAGGACCTCCCCTCACCGCCTTCTCCCCCTCCCCAGACAAGAGAAGCTCGTGGTTACTCACAGGGGCAGTCGCAGAGGGCAACCGCGGCGTAGTAGTGCGAGAGAGCCTTGAAGTGCTCTGCTTTGACGTGCACCATGGAGGTCCAGGAGAAAGGCACATAATCCTTGACGTGGGGCTGGGCCATGGTCTGGTGCACCAAGGAGTAGACCTCTTCCACCTGGGGAGGCAAAGAGGGGCCACGCTGAGGACGGGAAGTCCAAGGAGGCAAGCAAGGAAGAGGACAGCGTCCCCCCCATGGCCACCAGAAGAACATCTGGCTTGGCTTCCATAGTTCATGGTGTGATGGGTTCGTTCATGGTGGCGAACATCTGCAGCCCAGGCGGAGGATGAAGTTGGGGCCCTGTCAGGTGGGGGTCATTGGGAGGGGAGGTGATGGATGGGGAGGGGTGATGGGGGTTGGCCCTCCACAAGCAATTCCATCAACAGACCCATCGACCCTCAACCAACCTATGAAGCCCTCAGAGTCCAAATCACCTGTACAGCCAACCAGAGGTGGCATTGACCTACCAACCCACACAAGTCCCCCCACAACCAGTCCTTCACCTGCCACCGACCCTTACCTGATGTGACCTTCCCTCACAAGACCCTCAGCTGACATGGCCCACACCTGACCCATCACCTGAGCCTCACCTGACCCATCACAACATCTTTACCAGACATGACTCACACCTGACCCATCACAAGACCCTCACCTGATGTGACCTCCCCATCACCCTCACCTCACCCACCAGCCCCTCACCTGATGTGAACCTCACCTGACGTAACCTCCCTCTCACAAGACCTACTGACTCACCCAAAGCCCTTATCAGCAGAAGGACAACACCCATACTCACTTCCCCTAAACTCTGCTGAAGAACATTACCTGGCCAGGTAACAAAATGCTTAGAAACCAACCCCACAAGCTCAGAAAAGGAAGCTTTTCCCCACTCACTATGCCTGATCCCCTCTGGTGGGACTCCGGGGGCCTCCGCTCCCCCTTCCCCCTCCCCCCTTGGATACCCTACCCGGGCTGCTTCCTGGGCGAGCTGCAGGTAGCCGAGGAAGTCGCTCCGTGCTCCGAGCAGAAGGACCTTCTCAAAGACGCATTCCTGCACCTGGGAGATCATCAGCCGGACCAGCATGTTGAGGGAGGGGCTGCTCATGTCGAGGCTGGGGGCGTTGGAGAAGTTCTCCTTCAGGTAGTTGAAGGCGCCTGCAAAAGGAGAGGAGATCCTCCACTGACGACCACAGCTTAGCCCCGAATTTCCGTGGCTTAAGCGGGACAGTGGTGAGGTGAGTTGCATCCCGTTTTGGAAGCCTTTTCTTGCCGCGGTTGTTAAGTGACCCGCTGCCGTTGCTATGTTTAGTCACACGGTTGTAAAGTGAATCTGGTTTCCCCATCGTCAGAAGGTCGCCCAAGGCTGGAGTCAGCAATCTGTGGCTCTTTCATCCCTCTGCTGCGGCTCCCTGTTGCCAGTTGGCTCCATAATTGATAGGGCTTTTGGTTAGGACAGGTAGAGAAAAAAGGATGTCACACTAGGAGACTCTATGGTGGGGGAACCGGACTTCCGGCTGGCAAAGGAAAAAGGATGCCGCACTAGGAGTAGACTCTATGGTGGGGGAAACTGGCCTTCCGGTTGGCAAAGGAAAAAGGATACTGCACTAGGAGGAGACTCTATGGTGGGGGGAACTGGACTTCTGGTTGGCAAAGGAAAAAGGATGCCGCACTAGGAGGAGACTCTATGGTGGGGGGCACTGGACTTCCAGCTGGCAAAGGAAAAAGGATGCCGCACTAGGAGGAGACTCTATGGTGGGGGGCACTGGACTTCCAGCTGGCAAAGGAAAAAGGATGCCGCACTA